CGCCCGCTTCCACCAACACTTCATGCGGACTCCACCCTTCCGCGAGCCGGGCATAAAATTTTCCCGATGTCACGGTCACCCCAGCAGCGGTTTCAACACAAACAGGAACCCACTCGCGTTGCCCTTCTTCCAACGGTGAACGGGCGGAAGAATCCACTACAATTTTGAACTCGCTACCATCGTGGTCGGGGCACTCAACCATTGCAATCATGTCAGAAAAATCCGGCCGGTCGGCGGCGGCAGCCGCAGCTACCATCTTTGGAGGCGCAGAACGGGGAAATGTAGTCTCACTGAACGACGCTCCCGACGAGTGGGCGCTGTTGTCCAGGTGCAACAAACATGTGTCGTTGCCGATGTCAATGTATTCCCGACGCGGAAAGTGTCGCCAACTATCCGTACCGAGTAAAATATCGTGAGACATCACCCCGTCAGGCACAATACATGCCTGCACGGCTAAACGGGCGCTCCCTCTATCGTATCGATCGACGAACTGTACGTTTAACCGAGCCATTTGATTCGTGCGCAGCGGTTGACCATTAAACCCCGTCCACTCTTGTTCTTTCACGGAACGAATACCTTCTTCCAACGCTGCACCCGTTTTCACCATTCGATCCATGACACTGCCAGAGATAAACGACTGACCCGATCCCGTGTCTACCAATGCACGACACACATGTTTTACTCTGGCCCGTCCCGCAAACACACTCACTTGCGCTACTTGGGTGGACTGCTGCAACCGGGCTTCTCCCGGCACGAATGCTTGATACTCCTCGAGAAATTCAGGCAATTCGTATCCCTGTATTGGTCGACTACTTCGTGGATGATTATTGCCCCAAGAGGGTAAGGAGGGCGAACCGTCTTTATACTTGATCGACAGCACACCAGTTCGGGATTTATTTTTTTTCTTGTGTTTCTTTGTTCGGTCATCGTTGTTACTTTTTACCGCCCCCACGGGTGAGATTAGATGAATACTCGTCCGATCGGATAGAACGGGGCGGGCGGATAGCGATGCCGGTGAACTAGAGTTAGACACGGCCGCTAGTGCGGCGATGCCTGCTTCACTATCTACAGGATCGGCCAACGGGGAAGCCGACGGTAGGGAACAACTCTTCTCTTCTTCTACTCCGTTGTCACTCAACCGATTTGTTGGGATTTCGGCGATCACTGGAAGCTTCGACAACGCGGAGAACGCTCGCTTCGGCACACAGTAACTACCCCGGGGAGATGAGCTCACACACGCCGGCGCCGTCTTGAACGCGAGTTTTCTCATGGCTCCCCACCTCCCGTGTTTCTCTATACTAATTTTAGGCTACGGAGCTTGGCTTGCCATCTTTCTTCAACCAAAACGGGGCTACCCTCCCCGAATGATTCGCAAACCATACCACACTCATACTTAAAGGACTCAGGGCAATCACGCAGGAAGTGATCGGTGCGACCGCAGTTGTAGCAGGCGTCACGCGGCAGCTGGCTTTTAGCCTTCACCCCCTCTACCGAATCGGCGGAATATTTCCAGAAGCGGAACGAAGAGTTGTTCGACGTAGATGTGTTTTTGTCTGATCCTTTACCGAGCACGGGGTATAGGTGTCGAGATGTGCGTTGGTATCCTTCCTCGTCACTGCTTAATTCATACTCGCGCCCAGGGGCCAATGTTTCAAACGAGCNAGCGGAGTATTTCCAGAAGCGGAACGAAGGGTTGTTTGACGTAGATGCGTTTTTGTCTGATCCCTTACCGAGCACTGGGTACAGGTGTCGAGATGTGCGTTGGTATCCTTCCTCGTCACTGCCTAGTTCATAGTCGCGCCCACGGGCCAATGTTTCAAACGAGCGACCCCGCACTACCGCGTGAACCCTTGGTTGGTGAGAATGTGTTGATCTGGCGGACACCGTTCCTAAAGCAGGGGATGCGTTGGCTACGGCGTTACTTTCGTCTATCTCGTCATCCCGAAAGCACTTCCAAATGTCCGCTAGAGTCATCGCTTTCTTAAGTTTGGGTTTCACGAAAAGGGATATCTCTGGGTACTGCACGGCCAGACNAGCAGGGGATGCGTTGGCTACGGCGTTACTTTCGTCTATCTCGTCATCCCGAAAGCACTTCCAAATGTCCGCTAGAGTCATCGCTTTCTTAAGTTTGGGTTTCACGAAAAGGGATATCTCTGGGTACTGCACGGCCAGACCTTCAATGGCGGCTGAGACGATTTGTGCGTCTGTCGGGCACGAGTCCCCGAAACAAGACAACCCTCCGACAAGTTCTTTTAGTTGGACGATCCAATCTTGCAGGGGTGTGTGATTCGGAACGGAGAATTGTGCCAACATGATCGGGCTGGAATTGACCTGGAAGCTCGTGAACCGCTTCGTGAGTTGGCTGACAAGCTCGGCAAACCCTTGTGGGTCGTTGAGCTTTCTATCGGTTTGTTACTCGGGTTGTGTCGTCGAGGTCCCGACCGATGGACAAATTTTGTTTACCGGCCCTTCCCCACTTTCTGCCGCTACACAACTCACTAGAAATTGTTGAGCGAGCGACGTCCACTCTGGAGCCCACGCGGTGGCGTGGAAATCGCCGCAAGCTTGTCGGCCTTGCCTGACTACATGGCGCAGCCGACCTACCAACGTAACTAAGGCCGTCCACGTGTTTCCGGTAGGCAACGGCAGGCGTGGTCGCACTTACTGCTGAAACATGCCGTGCACATTTAGTGCCATGAGCTTAGAGGCTACCTTCGGATTGTGCGGGGGTGGGGAAGGGGATCGTGAGCTGGGGGACAAAGAGCACGGCAAACGGGTTAGTCTCGAAGCCCGGGAAGATCCACCAGCCTCCGAGCCTCTCGAAGACAACGCTCGGCTGTGTCGACGCTCCCTCTCTATCTCCCCCGAACGCCGACTCCCGCGGTCTCCTCCCCCCCCCCGACTCCGTGCTCTGCTTCCCTCCGCCTCTCGCGGCGCCCTGCCGGCGACAACTTGAGGCCCGCACGTGATGGGCGGCCTCTCGTTCCGCCGGCGCCGACCGGCGCCGCGGCGCCCCCTATTCATCCCGGTCGTCTCCCGAGCCGTCCGACGACCACGAAGAAGAGGAAGAACTCTCGCGGCAGGAGCGGTTGTGCTGCCGCCCGAGCGTTTGTTAGTCCGGCGGTGGCGCTCACGCTGACCGTCGCGGCCCAGCGACGGCGGCTCCCGGCGGTCGGCCGCCGCTGCCGCTTCCACCGCTCGCAGCATTTCCTAATCGCGAGGAGGACCCCACGCGTGCGCTCGGCCTTCACGCCGATCGCAGGCGTCTTCGAGCTCCCACAAACGGCGGCGCTTGTCGCTGAAGCCCGAGCGGGTCTGCGCGTAGGCGTCCCCCAACTCTGGGTCCCTCCATCCCGACCCGGCATAGGCTCGTTCCGCGTCGTGAAGCCGAATACTCAGCTGCTCGTCCAGCAGCGTCGTCCTGCCGATCTCACCGGAGAGTGTGTCACGCGGAACATGGAGATTGTCGGACCAGTGCCGCCCGCGGGGTTGCTGCGACCGACCCGAGGCGACCGTTCCACCGCGGTGAAGCCGCGCCTCTTCTGCGGCGAAGTCGAGCGCGGGCACCGAAGTGTGTCGGCGCACGTATTGATCCCGTGACGTCGCCGGCTCCCGAGGGTCCTTGCGTGACTGGTGTGCACGCAGCGGCGCCGCCCTTGGCTCGGTCTCCGACGACGGCCGCGACGCCGAGCCACGAAGAGAAGGCACGGATTCCGTGAAGAAGTCGAAGCTCGTCGGGCACCGGAGCTGTGATGGCAAATCACAACACTCCCCCGCCGCGCGACAGCCGGCGGAGGATCGTGACGAAGAATCACAACGCCAGCCCGCCGCTTGTCGGCCGGCGGTTCCCTCGCCGGGGGAGCGCCGGCCCGAGGGGGCTGGTCGGCGGAGGGGCCGAGGACCCCAAAACCGGGTGGCGGAGCGGCGGCGGAGTGTGGCGGCGAATTACAGCTCCTCCCGGCCGTTTCCCCGCCGCCTCTGGAGCCGGCGCTGCTGAAGCTGGTGAAGCGTGGTGCGTGGTGACGAAGCCTGGTCGCCGCCGCGCCGCCGCCGCAGCAGGGGCAGCGGCTGCGGGCGTCGCCGCAGACGGGGCGGCGCCGGCGCCGGCAGCGGCCACCGATGCGGCGGTGCCCATACGGCGGTAGCCCGCCCTCGGAGAAGCGGGGGGCGGGAGATCATTGGTCCATGCAGCCGAAGAGTGACCCGCCCGAGAAGCGCGCGAAATCCCCGACGCCACGTCAGCCGATGCAGAAGGCGAAGAACGGGGTGCAGCGNGGCCGTTTCCCCGCCGCCTCTGGAGCCGGCGCTGCTGAAGCTGGTGAAGCGTGGTGCGTGGTGACGAAGCCTGGTCGCCGCCGCGCCGCCGCCGCAGCAGGGGCAGCGGCTGCGGGCGTCGCCGCAGACGGGGCGGCGCCGGCGCCGGCAGCGGCCACCGATGCGGCGGTGCCCATACGGCGGTAGCCCGCCCTCGGAGAAGCGGGGGGCGGGAGATCATTGGTCCATGCAGCCGAAGAGTGACCCGCCCGAGAAGCGCGCGAAATCCCCGACGCCACGTCAGCCGATGCAGAAGGCGAAGAACGGGGTGCAGCGCCCTCGCCCCCGGCCCGGGCCCGCGCTGGCAGCGCCACGGGGATGGGCGGGGAGGAGGCCGAGGCCGGCGGCATGAAGGAGGTGGCGCAGCCACCCTGCCGCCCGGGGCGCCCGGGGCTCCCGCTCTCGCGTTCTGAAGAGCTTGAAGACGATCCACGTACAATTTCGGAATACGAAGGCGCGTGGTGGGGAAGCTCGGAAGAGTTGGCGGGCGTAGGCGACAGCGAGCGCTCGGCGATGCGAAGAGCGCCCGTGCTCCTCCGAACGTCGGCCCGCGCCATCTCCATGCGAAGCGCCCCGGAAGCGCGGACCAGCTCCAACTCCTCGCTCGCGTCGGAAGCGCGGCGTTCCAGGAGCTGCAGGCGGCTGACGGCAGTAGCAGCGGCGGCGGCGGCTTGCTGCGCTATATCACGCTGCAAGGCCAAGGCGGCTACCGCAGCCGCACGGCGGCGGTGCGCCGCCACATCGGCCGCCCTGGCGTCCTGCGACACCACGGCAAAGCCCTCGTCGGCGCACAACGCGTCGGCGTGAGCGTTGGCCACGGCAGCCGGCGACCCCGGCGGTGGGGGGGCGTCGGAGAGGTGGAGGCTGCCCTCAACCGCGGCCGCGAGGGACGCGTCTTCGCGGAGCTGGCGAAACTCCTCCTCGGTCCGGAAGAGGTCCGCGTCGACGGAGGCGACGCTGTCGCCGTCGTGTTCATCGTCGCCGTCGCTGAGGACGCCACGCACAGCCCCCGGGTGAGCCGTGACCCCCAGCGCAGCGGCGGCTGCGCCGAATTGGACGGCGGTAGGGTCCTGAAGATCGCCGGCGGAAGATCCGGAAGGAAGACCAGCAGCCGAGGCGCCAGAAAGCTCGCCGCCAGAGGGAACGACAAGCGAGGTGGAAGAGAGGCGGGCAAAGGGCACGCGAGCGGGGGAGGGCGACCCCGAACGCGAGGCAGGCGCGCTACGAGTACCACGAAGCGAACCAATCGTCTTGCTGCGAGTATGCATGGCCATGCTTAAATACTGCTGTAAAACTCAAAGACGCAAAAAGCAACCGCACCAACAAGCGCCGAGACGCCAATATTATACTTGGTATTCGGGTTCTGTTTATGACCCAATTACCCAATCCAATGCAGAGCGATGTGGCTCTACACTAACGGTTCTTGTGTAGGTTCGAGGTTCTTGTCAGTGGATTGCTCTACGTCTCGGACGGATGTCGCCGAAGATGTTAGATCAAAGACTCGAAGACCGGGGATGATGGATGATGCTTTTGAAGAGGAAACTTTGTCGTTGATCCTGCTCGCTGCTGCACTCAACTCAAGCCGATCAACACTGCTGCTGCTCGACCGTACTTCTGCACTCACTTGCTGGAACCAACCACCGCTTCTAACTCTGTCAACGCACTGGTAACTGGATACTCAAGCTCGCCTTCTACTCCTTGCCCTGGTAGACTCTTCTGAATTCATGAGCGGCAGCGCTGCTCCTGCTGCTGCACAACATCCTTCACGTACGTCCACAGAAAAATGCCAATTCCGCCGAAAAGCGGGGACCGAACCCAAACATCCCCTGAAGCGAGCCTACTTCGTACCACAGTAACGGGCGAAGCATCTACACCAGTCGTAACAGGCGCGGCAACAGATGCAACATTAGCAACAGCAGACGCGTCGGCTACACCTGTCGCCACAGAAGCGGCAACAGGTGTGGCGACAGCGACAGCCGGCACAGCAGCGACAACAGGCGCGGCCGCTACAGCAGAGGTCATGGCGGCAGGAGCCGCAGTAAAATCAGCAGCAGCAGTAACTGCAGCAGAAGCAGCGGCAGCGGCAAGAGGAGCTGCTACAGCAGCACCAGGGGCAGCACCAGGGGCAGCACCAAGGGCAGCAGCGGCAACAGCAGGAACCGCGACTGCAACATTAGACACACACGCAATCTACCGCAGAAAGTTCCGAGAAATTTTCTGCGGCTTGGATAACGTGACAACCGCTTTTCTAGATCACGGGCCGTCCCAGAAGCAGTGCCATCCATGCGGTGTGCTCACGCTGTGCCTCCGCGTCTTCTGCCAACAGAGCGCTGTAACGCTGAGCCTCCAGCCGTTCCTCTTCTCCACGCACCTTACGCAGACGCTCCGCTCATTCGCGCGCAGCTGCCTCTGCCCAAAGGTTACATTGTTACGGTTGATAGGAGTTGCACCTTTGGGAGGATGCGTTATTTCCAACAGGTACTAGCAGTAAGGTCCGGTTTGCCGGGCCCCGTCTAGAGGCTAGGTTGCTCGGTCTCCTTGCCTTCACTTGACTTGACTTGACTTCTCCATACTACTTCTCCTTGCTTGCCCTGAGTTAGCAATAATCAACAAGCGAATACCGTATCCACGACCGGAGACCTTCCACTCCTTGTCACAAGCCACCTTCGAGGCTCACTTCCACCGCTGTTCTGGCTCATCTACCGAACTCGGTACCGATCGAGAGGCGGCTACCATCAGGTCGGTAGCAGTGCTTGCGGGCTGGGGTCCCATGTACAATCCTCTGTGGACAGTTCCTCTTGACACCCAGGGTCCTGTCACTTGAATGATTAGAGACCACACAGACCCACATAGACATACATCGGGCCAGCCCCTATCCCTGGCCTCTCCATCCGTTTTAGACGCACAGGCACCTCAGCTGTGCTGCGGTTGCAGGCTCCACACGCAACGTACACACACGCGCGCACGTCAGCCAACCACAGTAGCTAGCCCGGTGGATGCTAGGTTTTGGAGAAAGAACACAACACCACGTTTGTTTCATCTGCTGAGGACGATTGCACCGTCATCACCAACTCTGCCGCTAGAAAACATGACTACATGATGATGAAGGCAATGAGTAAGATCGCCCTTGGCAAGATGGCCGACAGCATAGGAATACCAACGGACNGTGGATGCTAGGTTTTGGAGAAAGAACACAACACCACGTTTGTTTCATCTGCTGAGGACGATTGCACCGTCATCACCAACTCTGCCGCTAGAAAACATGACTACATGATGATGAAGGCAATGAGTAAGATCGCCCTTGGCAAGATGGCCGACAGCATAGGAATACCAACGGACAAAGAAGTACGCGCAGACCCGACGAAGAGCGAGGAGGTAGATTTCTTCAAAGGGACAGCTCGGGCACAGGTGCACCTACCCATGCGTGAAGGAGGACTAGGAATCACGAGCATCGTTCTCATTCGAGAATCGGCCTTTGCGGCAGGGCAAGCGCTGGTGTTCTCCAAGTCAGTGCAGGCATCAACAGGACTCACCATTGAACGATGCCTACCGCAACTTGCACAGCTACCAACAGGATTGGCTCTAATTGACTCACAGAGGAGATCATTACCAACGACAAGCTTGAATAAGCTGTTGGGCAGTCATGGGCTAACTCGCCACAAGACATCGCCAACCGGCTGACCAATGAAAATGCGTCATCTCAGTGAGGCTCAAAAGTCAACACACTAAATGCCACCAAATGGGACGCCGTGAGTGGGCGGCATGGGGGTTGCTATGCTTTCTCCGAGTGAAGCGACACAATCAGTAGCAACAGGAGTAAACTGCACGCATCTACCAAGGCTGCTACTTTGCACTCGAGTTTGTTTTGGAGTGCTGTCACCATCATCCTCCTTGCATCATTATCATAATCGTTTTGGCAGCAATTTTTCGGCAGTTCTTCTCTGGCCCTGCGTCGTTTGTTGTTGGGAGGGTCATCTGGCTCGAAGATCTTGCTTTCTTCCACGCCGGGCTTCCCTCCTCGATGGCTGTCGTCTTGGTATCTGTTTTGTCCCGCCGTCCCCTCTCATCGTCCTTCATTGCTGTCAAAAAAACTCTCATTACCATCATGATCGTTTCTATCTGCGCTACTACCGAGATCGCAACCTGTTGACCGTGGTGGACATTATACACATGTGTGCGTATTAAATTATATATTGGTTCAAGTGCGTGCAATAGCATACATCATAAATATATAGAGAATATACATCTACTGCTACCCTTCCAAACCCGATGTCATGGATCCCCCCTCTCCTCTCGACTGGCCCAAAATAGTAGGTGGAGGGTGCGTTCAGGAATTTTGTTATCGTGGACCCTTGGTCGGAACGATAAAAGGAGCACTGGACAAATCCTGTTTCGGGCACCGTATGATCTACAAGATAAATGAAAGGGCCCGATTCCTACAAGAGCACGTATACACACGGCTTCAGAAAGCTGGTGGAGTTGGTACAGACGCAAGTGGGCGGCTTTAGGTGGGAGTCGTGGTACGATGCGTAGGTTGAGGATTTGGCGTTTATCGTAGCGCAGCTAGGGTACGTACGGGTTTTGTTTTCACGACGATGATTCCCTGAGTCTATTTGAGGGGGGTGCAAAGCAGGGTGTAAAATGCACAACGATGCGCCCTTCGATGGAAGTATTGTTCGGACCCGATTGTGTTGCTTGGTTTTTGAGGCAAATGTTCGGGGAGCGTGTGGAGTTGAGAAGCCCAGATTCGACGCCGACGGTCACGGGCCAAAAGCGCCCGGCCACCGCGACTGTAGTCAATGTCCCGATAAAGAAAGAGAGGCTCGAGAGAAGCACGGATGAATCCGACGCAGCAAACCTCAATACAGTATTCACGGGGGGGGGCGTGTACTTTCTCTGATGTATACACCAAATCAAAAACAATATTTCAGGACGTTTCGGGACCAGGGTTAACTATTGCGCTCCGCCACCCCCGACGCAGATGGTCCGAGTGCCGAACAGCACTTTATCATCCTTTGGCCCGGTCAAACACAAAAAACAAAAAATCACCCACTCAGACCAAACCCGTCCTTCCCGTCCCGAATCTTCATCGTCTGTGCGTACTTCCAGTGAATGTACCCCTGGAACTTCAAGGGATCAACCACGTAAACGAACGTCTGGTTTTCCGTACCGTCATGGCTACTTTCTGTTCCATCCTTCATGACAGATATCAGGCCCTCGACCACTTCCCGACTCCGAAAAATTACCTTCAGGTCCACTCGCTTCTTTTCGTCCGTGCCAATACCCTTGTCCTTCGGAACAACTATCACACAGTCCCGGTGGATTTTCGCAACAGCGATGGCCATCAACGGAGTACCGAAATTCGTCCCGTCGAAGCGGAAATGAACATCGTGGGTGAGAGGCAGAACTTTGTTATCATCCCCTTCCTCCTTTTTGGTACTCTTAGCCTTATCCTTGACATGACACCTCTGAAACCCCGACGACTGCATATACCTCAAGGGCTGAATGGACTGGTAGCGCTGCACCGAGTCCGAGGGTGGCTGCACGAATTCCACAGAAACCGTGTCCATCGAGGCCGCCGGCGAGTCATGGTCATCCGAGCGGTAATGCGTCGCGAAAACAATGTCCGCGTGTTTGAATCCCCCGGTGTAGTCACGGAAATCATAGTTCACCACGTCTTCTGCTGTGCCGGATAAATTGAGATACATCAGGTCGGTGATGAATTGAATAGCGTCTCTCGTCAACCTGAAGGCAATCGTTGCGATAAGAGTTGTCTTCTCGTACCGGATCGAATCAGTATGTTCGGTCGTCGTGTAGTACCGTATGTTGTCAGCTGCAGCCCTGTAAACCATCTTCCTGGTCCTCTTCCGAGGCCTAGAACCCGACACCCGCAGGTCTACGAGCACACCTGGAGGAGGGGGAGAGGGGGGTACTCATAGTCGTGCATGCCGTAGTCGTTAGACCATTGACCTCGCATCCCTACAAAGCCGGGACGGAGCACGCCGGGTTCTCACCGGACCAGGCTCTCACATCACCAAGCGCGAAGCGCCGTGAGATATTCGGCGAGTCGCATGAAGGGTGCGCTGCATCCTGCTAAGGGTGTTCGGCATCTTGTGCTTACTTCCTTGCGTACGGATGACAGCTGCGTATGAATTAATTTATTTTCTGGTGCTTTCACTTCCAGAGACAGTTGTAAGCACTGTGTAACTGCCTCGAGGGTGCTTGACCATTTTAACACAACGTGGTGCGATCATCCCCCTTGCGCGGAGTGAGGGTTCACCCCGCACAACATGATCTACTCAACCATCATTATGGTTACCGCCCAAAAAAAATAAACGGAGGAAAAAAAAAAAAACGGTAACCTGGTTGCCGAGTTCACGAAGTGAATTGGCTTGTTTTACAACGTCGTTGCCAAGCGACGAAAACCCAATCCCGATGGCAAACACCGGGGGGGGCGGCTTGTTTTACAACGTCGTTGCCAAGTGACGAACACCCAACCCCGATGGGAAACACCGGGGGGGGGTGTACTCATACTCATAGTCGTGCATGCCGTAGTCGTTAGACCATTGACCTCGCATCCCTACAAAGCCGGGACGGAGCACGCCGGGTTCTCACCGGACCAGGCTCTCACATCACCAAGCGCGAAGCGCCGTGAGATATTCGGCGAGTCGCATGAAGGGTGCGCTGCATCCTGCTAAGCGTGTT